GGGGGGGGAGGGGAGAAGAGTAAGAGAGAGAGAGAGAGAGAGAACAGAGACTTCAGAGCGCGGCGGCAGAGACAGTTTTCACATTAATAACGGAGGAAGCTCGATAACGTCTGGCGGAGGTAACGGGCGTTACGCGGAGACGGAAAAAGGCGCTCGATAGCGCGGGCCATCTTGTTTTTATAATTAATCGCCTGTCGGCCGACTGAAGCGTCGAGCTTTTTACTCGTCGATTATGGATCACGCTTCTGGCCTCTTCTGGCAGCTCGTGTGTCACCGTCGATGCATTATACCGCTTATCACAACCCCCGACTCATGCCAATTAGCGTAACGGACACGTAACGCTCGCGCGTCTAGCCGATCTTAAGATTATCGATGCGGCTGAGGTTGCGATGGCTTTATTATCTCTACGCTTGGTCGTAAAGCGAGTGCAATTCGCACGTACAAAGTGCCTTCCCTGGAAAAAATCCGTCCTTTAAACGAATTCATCAGTTTCTACGAAATTTATCTTCGACTTAGCGCGCATTACCACGTATCTCGGCGTTCCGAAGCACTTTCGGAATCACGTAATGCTCGGAGAAATGACTTTTGATGGACGCTCGCAGGGGCGTTGCTCGCATTAATAATCCAACAGCCGCGATAGTGTTTCGCGCGAAAGCACGGATCGACGAAAGAAGTAAGTAGTAAAGAAAGGAAGACAAATATACAGGGAATTCCGACTTGGGAAGGAGTTTAAGAAAAAGAGAAAGAGAAGAGGCGAGACAAAGTTTATTACGCTCTAGAATTGAGATCCCGTTTAAACAACACAAAATAAAATGTTGCGAGAGTAAAATGGTGCAGCGCGAGTACAGGTAATTAGTAGTAGTATAAAAGTACAATGTAAACACGAGTAAATTGTAGGTAAGCGATTAATACGAAGAAGTACGCAATAATAGCGTAAAGTAATATCATCAATAATAAAATATCATAAAAAATTGGAGAAAAAGAAATAGCGATATTAAATCAAACATATGTAAAAAATAAAATTCAAAAAAACAAACGAGAATTTCAAAACAGCATTTTATGAAGAAAAATAAGATAAAAAACATACTGCAATGCGCAAAATATTTTACAAGAATACAAGAAACAAGAGAATGATGCAGTAAATAGATGCAATATCGAAGTGATTACAGAAAAGAAACAAGGAAAAAAATAGCAGGAGGAAGAAGAGAATGAAAGAGAACGAAAAGAGGAAAATGAAAATTGGGCGAACGCACGCTTTCCACGACAGAGGAAAACAGCGACGGGGTCACTCTTATCGCCGTTTCCATACGCACGTAGAGAAAACGGTCGCCTTATCAGGCGTTTCCATGAATAATTTAGAGAGCTTCGCGCGCTGAAAACTTCTATCCCGTCGGAGAAAGAGAAAGATAGAAAGAGATAGAGCGGCGACCGAGTGCGGTTAGCCGCAGAGTCTCGTTGTCGACTTTTTTCTTCTCGCGAGGCTGGTGGAAGGTGGAAGAGGAAGGGATGAAAATGGTGCGTCCAGAGAACATCGGTGATGGCAGAAGAGAAAGTAGGAGAGAAACAAAAAAAGAAAAAAAAAGAAATTATCGTCAGAAGAGACGGAAAGATGAAGAAAAGAGACAGAAGGAAAAAACTCCGCAGAGAGGACAGGAGAGGAAAAAAAGGAAAAGAAGGAAAAGCACGTAAAATAGCTGTAAGCGGAGGAAGCTGCCTCCTTCTTCCTGTCTGTCGCTCTCTTTCCTGCGGCGTGGGAACGTAACGCGTGCCGGAACGCTTATACAATTTCGTTTCCTGTGTGTGGCGCAACTTAAATCGAATCGGGAGTGATAGAATCGATGCGACAACGTGATAGAATACATACGACAAGCGAAATTAATCGAAATGATCTAACGCCCATTGTCCACGATGGACGCAGGTGGCTGAACGTGAATGCATAGGATCGCATCTGTTTTATCTCGATAGGCTTTTTCGAACATCAATGTCTTAACATCCTGCGATTCGACCGCAGTCACAGGTAAACTTCTAGTAAGGAAATGTGAAGAGAAAGAAGCTTAATAAAAAATTTAAAAAGTAATACAAAATGGAAATTATCGATTAATTTACCTATATTAAATTTTTTTCGCTAAAATATGAAAATATTTATTTTCACGTAACTTTAATTATAAAATTCTTTGCTACGTTATTTCCAATTACGTTATATTTAAAAATTAAAATAAAAGAAAATTCTCATCAGCAACAAAATGAAAGATTTTTGAATTTATTTCATGATATACTTTTGTTATACTATTCATTTTTTCTTTCATTGTTTATTATATAATATATTTATAATATTATTATTTATTTTCTTTTATATTTTTCTAAAAGCTTTTATATATTCTTTTCGCCAAGCATTTCACTAAATCTATTTATGTGACTGCGACAAATGTTTTTCATGTTGATGAAATATAAACAGCGCAATTTATAGCATTCCTTTCTTAAACAATAAAATCGCGTGGAATTAGATTAGACGGCCTGTAAACGCAATGCACGCACAGGATGTATGTGGTACACTGATTCTGCAAGGCCGGCAAGAAAAAGAGCGAAAGGCACGGCAGAAACGTGGTTTATCTTGATCGCTTTTTCGCGCTGCCGTAATCGTAATAATTTCTGTGGCGCCGCGACGCCGTCGTCAATTTCGGAGTCCCAATCTTTTTTTTTCCCTCAATATCACAAATCGCAATATCGTGATTGTGGTGCGATAATATCGCGATGTAATTTCGCGTGTGCGGGAATAGCGTCTGGACGATTGCAAGATTTAATAGTTTTCGATATTCATCGCCGAAGTGATAGCGATGATGCGTTTAAAAAATATAATGGAATCTGCATTTGCGCGCGATAGAAGATACATTCTTAATCGAGATTCACGGGAGCGTCAAAGAGTGCTCGGCGAATGCTATTTACGGATGATACGAAAAATGCGCTCCTCGACGCGTCGCTCGAAAGTTCCACGAGGTTTTATCGACTCGCTCTCAGCTTTCCCATATTTTTCTAGCCACGAATTCGTCGGCGACGTCCTCGATAATTTGAATGCGCATTGACGCAGATTTGCTTTCGTGTCCATTAGCGCGAAAAAACATAGTCTGGGACGTTACGTAAAATCGCATCGGTACGTGATATAAAAGCAAATGTGTGCACGTATTACATCGGCGTTCCTCTCCGATGACAGGGAAAATTAACGACGCACTTGCACCACGAAACGAAGAGAGAATTGAGTGACCGATGTACTCCATCGGATAATAAAGCGCGAGGTTAGCGCCAGGACCGGATCGATTTCCGTTCGAGATATTATTCGAGAATGACGTCACAAATATCTGTTGAATACAAGCGAGAGAGAGACGCACGCTCACGATTACGCCAGTGGCCAAATTACGAAAGATAAGAAAAGAAAAAGAATACCCGCGGGGTCTATTTACGGCCGATTCAGGGTTGTTGACAAGGAAAATCGTGAGACTTACCCAGCATGCAGGAACATGTAGAAGGCGAACCTCCAGAGTTCGAGCCGTTTGTCCGGTCTGTAAATGAAGACACTGTCGATCGGCACCGGCCCCGAGGGATTTACCTCACCCATCGCCACTGTGTAGTATGTGAAGAAACCAAGCTGCAACAAAGACAAGAAAAAATATCGTCAATAAAAGTCGAGGCAGACAATGTAGTGGCGAATGAAGAAGCTCCGTAAGAATGTTTGCGTGCGCCGTTTATTGGACGTTGTCGCTATCTGATATTGTCAAGAGAAAATAGTACCGTTGCGACTTAATCAAGTGACACGTATATTAAATTAATACAATTCTTTAGAAATATTACCTAACCTTTAGAAATATGTCTTGGTCATTCATTCTGATACTTATTCAAATTTAGCAGCAACGCTGCCATATAAGAGCGTTATTTTGCGCCATTTTTTTCCACGTACGGAAAAGAATGGAAAATCGTAAATGATCGCGCAACCCCGTGACAAAAATACGAGGAAATATCAAAGAGAGAATGAAGGGTGCGCCTGTATGTTAAGACAAGTAAAGTTACTCGAGCCACGCGGCTTGAGTAGTTAGGGTGTGCGTGATGAATTAGTCACGCAATGCATAAGAATGAGCGATGTGTGCTTCGTATGGAAATGCGCGTCTGACGTTGCGTTAATAAAAATGTACGATTTCTCTCACAACACCTAGATATTCTGTATATTTATTAAATGATGGTTAAATATTATCAATACAACGGTTTTTAAACGGCGGAAAATACATTGCTCATTATTTAACCAGCGTAAATGTTCATTTAACATGATTTATTTTAATAGAGAGGATAAATTTAATTTAAATTGAGGATAAATAAACCTGAAAAATATTACAAGTAATAAATTTCAGACATGATATTTCAAACTTTTTTTCATCACAGTAATTTGATAATTTTAGCGTTTTTACATTTTTACGGATTCCCTTTACACGTTTAAGTGTCGCTATATTTCCACTGTATACCAACCAGAAATATTAAATGATAATAATAACAATAAACAATGTGAACACTAAACATAAATAGCATTAATGTCTACCGCGTGTCCACTCGAAATCACGCACAAAAGTTGCGGCGCGACTAAAACTCATTTATAACGCTTTAATCGCGTTAAGCGCACTCTACTACATTCGCCTGTCCCTCGGTGCATGACTTCGAAGAGAATAAGGGATGACTAAGAAAACGGCGGAATCCGACGTGCCAGTGAAATGTATGCGCATAAATTGTGCAACTCTCCGCAATACCATCGTCGTTGAAAGGGTTAATCAGCGCGGCGTAGTAGCAACCAAAAGGTACGTTGAACCCATATAACAGCGGCGATAAAGATGTCGGTCTGTATACGGTTGTAAAAAATATACAGCGCGAAAAGACGCGGAAGAATAAATGGAAAAAATCGCCGGCATGGGTGGGCACGCGCAGTACGCACGCATGCACCGAGTTGCGTGTACCGCGTTAATATCTTCACCTTGATAAGCGTCGCGCTTATAGTTTATGCGACATGACATTTTCCTCGTGAATAAAAAAACACGTTGTGTAAATAAAAATTTTCTATAAACTTCGCGTAGAAATTTTCTAATTAATTTAAAAAATTGTTATTTTTTTTACGTAAATTTAGTCATTTAATTAATATAGTTATGTTTGTGTTTATTATTTAATATCATACGTATAACTGAATCTAAAAATATTTATTATTTAGACATTTGAAGATATCTCGTTTAAAATGTCAAAATTATCAAATTATCAAATTTATCAAATCGCACAAATTAATATGTTCAAATAAAATCCAATCAAAATTATATAATAAATTTCGCAAAAAACTGCTACTGCAAATTACATTAAAAATAATTAATATCCCATTTTTAATATTACTCGGGTATTCTTATATAAATAAAATCTATCAAAATCCTGCAGAATCCGTAAAAAATAGAGGTTGAAATTAGGAATAAAATTTCGATTCGGGAATCAATGTCTCCCTCTCCACTCTTATTGATCTCAAGGTTTTTTCTTTTTGCCATTCAATTTACAAAGGAAAGTAGTATCGTCGCAACCGAAATGCAAGAAATCTCACGTGTTACGCGTAAATTACGGACACGTGTCGCCGTGTCGCGTCGCACGGAGCGGCCCTCTTTTCCCGACGTCGCGACGCCGGCAACTTTCGGAATTAAATCGACGCTTCGCGGTGCGAGCGGGCGAGTCGTAAATAAAAGGGAAAGACGCGTCCCGGCGCGCTACGGATTCGTGACTCGCGTTTGTAACCGGTGACAGGGTATACAACACAACGCCCGTTTATACGCCCGGATTTAATTTCGCGTTTTAGACTCATGCAACTTTGCGAGGTCGGCGGAACAACGTACGGGACCGCCCGTACGTTACCGTTGATGAGTCTATCTGAGATTTTGTTTCGGAAATGCGGGCGACATGTTTAAAAGGATGTCGAAGGGGAAAAAAACTTACGACATGCTTTCACGCAACTCACGCTCGCCATCGCGTTCGTTTGCCTATTCGTCCTATCTCTCATCGAACGTTACTTCGAATTGAATGAACAAAACAGAGCTCTGTACATTTATCGACATTCCTGCACTTTAAGATCTCATTTTTTAGAGAAAAATACTCTTCTATTTGTTTTTATTTTATTAAAAATTATTTTGAAAATAAATTATAAACGCGTTGAGCATCTTTTTTCCCGAAGAGAAATAAAAATGCGAGTAAGGCACGATAAGATTCTCTTCATAGGCTGTGATATAATTTATAATTAAGCTATTAATTATATTTAATTATCATCGCAATAATCGCTGAGATATAATCGATTCATCGAACATCCGGATAATCCTATCAATATTGCAATGTCAATCAACGCTATAATATTATGCAAATATAATATTATGCGAAGGATCACGAGTCACAATCAGGACAAATATGAATTCTTGTGTGGCCTCGATTAATTTATTAATCGATAAGTATATTTCGAATTAATATTATTATCTAATATTATTATCTCTTCGCGTTAATTGTTCATTATAATAATCGCTCGAGACTTCTTTCTAGCGCCGACAAAATCCGCTCGTCATGTTTCTGCGCAAAGAAATGCTCCTCGTAGTCGTCTGTAAAAGAACTCCGTGAAAGGATATTGCGCAAATATACAGAGACGCGTTTCGCCGTTGCATTATACAAACTATCCGGCTTTCGTAAATGACGGCAGCGATATTGCGCGGAAATATTAGAACGACCGAGAGCTCCCTGCGATACGGCGAATGCTTGTTTCGTTTAACAAGGAGAAGGTAGCTCAAGTGATTTGTCCCACCAAGAACTTTATTCTCTGCGCGCAGATATATGCACTTTCACAATTGCGCGACAACCGTAAAATATACAAGCGTCTTTAAAATACTAGAATTTCAATTATTTTCATGCAATTCAATTATTCTGAATAAAAATAATAGACTATAAATACTTTGTATGTGAAATGCTATCTCATATCAAATAATAAATACCCTGATCTGTCGTATAAATTTTCCGAGCTAATGTTTAAACTTTACGCGTAGGTACGATTATTGCGTGCGCCAATAAACGCGACTTTCCTTTCCCATGTGCGTTTGCACGAGGAATTTTCTCGTAGCGGCGCGTACGCCCCGAACGTTTATTACGTCATAATGATCCCGATTGCCTAGTGAGTGAATGTAATGTTGCGGGGCGGACCGCAGAATGGACGATATAAATCAGCCGGCGTAATATTACGCTGAGACGCGGCGGCGGCGACCGCTTATACGCTGTATTGTTTCAGCAAAACCGGGGAAACATAATGGCGGAACCCTAAGTATAATGCGGGCTTGTGCCGCGCCGCTTTAACAGGGAAACAAGGAGCCGGCGAGCGGGCAACAAATTGGTTTTAAGACCGAGAAGCACCGGCGCTTTCCGACATTGTGGTCGTCGGGCATTAATTAGCCGACGCGAGAATTTGTTCGCGCGTCTTTTCGCTCTCACGTCTTTGTATCATAATTTTTTTTCGACAGCAATATTACCGAAACGACACGATCAAGTTCGCGGAAGAAAAATTATTACTACATGAATTTAATATAATGTGTTTTCACACTTTTATATATCTTCTAGAAAGAGATTATTGCGTTTTGACTCCACATGAAGCTATTGCATATTGCAAGAATTATCATGTTCAAAATTAATTCAGGAATTCGGCACAAACAAGATGTAATTGGAATGAAACGTATCCTATCGGCCTCTAATTCGTTCTATAATTGATAAAAGAATGCGACTAATAACATTTCTCTGTGATTATAGATCAAAGCTGATGCAAGTAGGTAATAAACAGCACATCAAATGATCGAAATGAGCTTGCAGAGTAGAAAATAATAATTCGCTACTGATTCGCTTGAACTGGGCCATTTTACAGATTTTTACTCGACGAGTACCACGGGTAAATAATTACTCTTTCAATTGTGCAAATTTGCAATTTAATACGTTTTAATGACGGTTTATTAATTGCCGCTATTGTACGTGACGGTTGTAAGAATTGAACCATAGCGAGTGAAGCGATTACATTGCCAGAAAACAAACAAAATTCATTATAGTACCAATAATTCATTACTTATAAAACTCGCGTAAGTAGGAAACAGAAGCGTCATATAAAATTGATTACATCTAAAAGTGCAATTAAAATGCAAAATCTGCTGTGAATTGAAAATACCGTATGAAAGAATCTAAATCATTTATTTTTATAATATTTTACAACATCGAAATTTTGTTAGAATCAAACGTTTGGTAACGTTTGGTAGCATTTTCTATCTCCAAGAATGCAATTTCAAAGTTACTTTGAAAGCTATCACGTTGCCTCGCGAAACTACTGATATGTTATCTGGTGTGCGTTATTCAAAATAGTTAGGTTCAGTTTCACTAGATATTTTTTTCAATTGCCTCGCTTGCAGCCTTTCTACAGTAAATATTTTTCATCAAAGTTGATTTTCAAATATTAAGCAAAATTCAAATAAGAATTAATTAATAAAAAAAAGGACTATAAGTTTTAATGGCAAAGTTTATTATCATACACGATAGGATATCTTCACCAAAACCACTTTATGCAATTAAACTAAA